TGCTGACTGGGACATGAGGGAGAGTCTGCAGACTCTAATGCAAAAAATTAATAAATGCACTTTTTTCTTTTATGAATGTGTATGCTTATTATTTGGACTTTTCCATTAACCACGGGAGCATACCACAGAGGTAGTGGTTGAAAAACATGTATTTACCCAGGCTGGCAACCTGTTAAATGTGGTCCTTATATTTCATTACTCACAATCTCCTACTTTATACTACTATGGGAGAACAGGGAGAGCACTCTAATGTTCCATCAAAAGGGCTTCTACTCTCTTACCACATTGTCTCTATAGATATCAAAAACCTATATTTTAATCTGATTGCGTTGGGTGATACTAGTAGTACCTGGAAGTGAGAGGTTATCATGGATCAAGAAAAAAAACTCCAAAATGTAAAAAAGGTAACAACTGTAACCACTTTTCTTCTATGAGCATTGCTACCATAGGCCCCTTTCACACAGACGGTCTGATCAGGTCGCCTGTCATTTTTTTCAGGCAGATTTGGCCTGAATCGGAGGATCAGAAGCCTAATGTATCTCTAGGAGCAGCCATTTGTGAATGGACATGTGTCCGTTTCCATCCTTTTACCTCTGACTCCTTTTAGGTCCAGAGAGAAAAACGGAACAGATTTCCATTTTGGCTGACCTGATCATGATGGAGCGGAGTTAATCGCATGTTAAAGGACACGTATCCGCTTACATCTGGCTGCCCATAGGCCTAACATGGGTCTGTAAAGCTCAGTTTTTTTCCCTCATTGCAAGATGCAGGAAAAAAGTGAACGGAGACAGATGTCACAACAGTGACATCCGTTCTGTACTGCACTGATCAGTAGTCCGTACACGGAACGGACTGATCAGAACGGATGCCGCCTGTGTGAAAGGAGCCTTAGGTATGTGGCACTGGGATAGTATTGATAATGAATGCCTTGTGATAGATGTCCCCCCTATTAGCAACCAACAGCTTGCCATCTGTATGATAACGACAGTCCCCAGCATTCCTAACCACCCAGTGGCACAGGGCGGACTGTGAACAGTATACAAAGTTTTTACATACTGACAAGTAATTATTTATACAAGATGCAGTGAAATATACTGGGATGCCTTTGTGTTCCCTCGCATCTCCTGGTTTTGACACTTCTGCTCTTCCTGTTTTCTCGAGTTGTTTCCTGTGTTTTTGTTACATGTACAAAAGTATTTCAGCTGAAGTGTTTTGGCCAGAAGGATCTTGTGACATGGGGATCTCAGATCTTACTCGATTATAGTGAATTGGGAAGAGAGGGGGGTTGTTCAATATTATCATTGGTATTTATATAGCGCTGACAATTGATTCAGCGCTTTACATAGCTGAACATTCACGTCAGTCCCTGCCGTCAAGCGTATTACAACCTTAAAGGAGAACTATGGGGTTAAGGCTTTTCCCCATAGTTCTCCTTAGGGTAACGGGAGGACACAAACTAGCGTCCTCCCGTCACCCTAGGCTCAGTATACCGCGAGCTGTAGCTTGCGGTATACTGAGACGCCGCAGTTGAAGCGGATCCCGACAATTGTGCCGGGATCCGCACAGCTGCGTGACTGACAGCTGTACCCGCCCCCTCCCCGTCCGTTCCGCCAGTCAGCGCTGGCGGCGGGGAGGGGGGAATCCAGCCCCTCCCCTGTCACGGCAGAGAGCCGTGACAGGATCGAGAGGTGAGTGAACGCCGGTATGTGTTCGCTCACCTCCCAATCTACTGAGCCGACCTGTGACAGTCTCATTGTCACAGGTCGGCTAGAACTATGAGGTGAGTGAAAAGCACTCACCTCATAGTTCTCCTTTTAAGGTCCCTATCTCACATGCGTACAGGGCTGATTTTAGACAAGAGCCAATTGACCGTCCAGCATGTCTTGAGTGTGGGAGGAAACCCATGCAAGCACAGGGAGAACATGAAAACTCCTTGCAGATAGTGTCCTGACCAGGATTTGAACCAGGGACCCCCAGTTTTGCAAGGCAGAAGTGCTAATCACTGTACCACTGTACTTACTACCTTTAGTAGGTATAGAACTGTTACTTCAGAAAGACACAGCCTTATTCCCTTATTGTCTGTGATGTAAAACTCATCAGACAGTATCCCACATAATGTCAAAGGTCCATGGAGCTGGCAACTCTTGAGGTGACCATGTCTCAGATCACCTTTGGGGTGGGTGGCCAACTGGCCAGTGTTTGAAATATCACATTTGTGAAGACTTACCCTTTTAATGATCTAATGTAAAGGCTTTATGGACTCCTAGCAAGCACAATGTGGGATTTAGGAGTGAGAATGCAAATGTTACTACCTGGTAAGCATCATACTCACTAGAATAGACGGAGTGCCTAATATGAGACCAAAAATACTAAATGCTAAATAATTTTTAGGGACATAGGTTTGAACCTCTAAAAAGTTCTTCTTACTGTCTGTCTGCCCCCCCCCCCCCCCCCCCTTGAGGAGATTCCTCCACTTCCTGTCCTGGTGGCAGTCTAATACACAAGGACAACTTGGAGCAGGAAGTGAGCAGAAATCTGTCTAGTAAGGACACCGATAGCTCTAAAAACCCAGAGATGCTAAAACTATCCATGCACCACTAGATTTCTCTTGTTCAGTCCAACATGTGGTTCCAACAGGGCCATCAATGACTGGAACTTCAGACGATCCATGCTGAAATTCAAGCTGTGTATGGCCAGCTGAACACTTCCCCATTCTAATTAAAAAATATATATATTTTTTTAGGCTTGTTTCTGCATTGAAGAGATTTTCTGTTTAATCCCAGCCCCTACTGCTTTTAAGGCAAGAAGATATAAGTTCTGAAACACATTTGTGTTTTAAGTTAGACATTCAGGTAGAGATCAACAGTCTACCGAGCAAGCCTAAAAAAACTAGTAAACCAGGCCCTAAGTTTTTTTTTGTTTTTGTTTTTTAGAAGTGGTTG